TATTTTTTAATTAAAAAGGTACAAATCGTATGTAAGCTACTCTGGGGAATTTTCTCAGCTGAAGAGAGGGATAAAAATGTTCTAGTAATACTAATAATAATGGCAAGAAGCTCATTTCAGCCTCAAGTCTTTAGGAGGCTCCCCCCCCCTTCTTTCTTGTTTGTTTCAGAGGCCCCAGAAAGAGGAGTAGAGGCAAAGACTGACTGGAATGTTTATTTGCTGGCTCAACCAGGATTCCAGCAGCCTTCTGTCTTATTTGCTCACCTGCTCCTTGGGCTGAATTTGTGGGCTCTGCACAAGAAGTGGATTTGTTTGCAAAAAAAGAAACTCACACAGAAAAATCAATACAGCCTTTGGGCAGAAGCATGAAGTCAGGTACATTTCAGAAATGCAAGCCCACATGTTCCTAAGCGACATTGGATTAATCATGGATCATACTGGGGGCCACCTCCTACCAGTAAGAACATCATAAAAGCATAAGAAGAGCCTACTGGATCAGGCCAACAGCTCATCAAGTCCAGCATCCTGTTCTCACAGATGCCTGTGAGAAACCCGCAAGCAGGACTTGAACACAAGAGCCCTCCCTCCTCCTGTGGTTTCCAGCAATGGGTTTTCATAAGCAGAAGCTCCTCCAGTTGTGGAGGCAAAGTAAAGCTAGTAGCCATCAATAGCCCTCTCCTCCAAGAATGCGTCTGATCCTCTTAAGCCATCTAAGGTTAGTGGCCATCCCTGCCTCCTGTTCCATGCCATGCATAATTCTATACTTCTATCATGTCTCCTCTTACTCGCATTTTTTCCAACCTAAAAAGTCCCCAGAATTGCAACCTTCCTTAATAGGGGAGTTGCTCTAGCCCCTTGATCCTTTCAGTTCCTCTTCCAACTCTGCAATATCCTTTTTGAGGTGAGGCGACCAGAACAGTACACAGTATTCCAAATGCGGCCGGCACCATAGGTTGGTATAATACAGCATTAGGATATTGGCAATATTATTTTCATCATCAGATGAAACATCGGAGCAGTCAACTAGAGGGGAGCAAAATGTGCTTCCTTCTACAACAAGGCTCCCAAATTCAAATTGAAACACAACGTTCATCTAGTCCGGCAACCTGTTTCCAACAGAGGCTGAAAGAAAGAAAATGTATACAAAGACAATAGCAACCTCTTCTTTTAAACTCTGTCCTCCAAAGCAAGTGTTAGCAAGAGGTAAACTGCCTCTGAACATGGAAGCTCCATCTAAAGCTTATGCTCCAATTTGGAACACATTCGATTTCACCCTGTGCCCTGCTTCCCAAGTCAAGATTCCAACTAATGCCCAGCAAGATGCAAAACCATTTACAGTTGCCACTCTCAGAACTGCTTCCCATTCCATCAAAAGATTTAGGGTCCAGAAAGCAAAATCCAGCCGAGCCAAAAGTTTCAGCATTCATAACACCACAGCCTCATGGGACATGGTAATCTGGTCATATATCACAGCAGCACAAAATGTGGTACCATGTGCAGAATATTCAGCTGCCTGCCTGTGTTGGTTTTTTAAAGAACACACATCAAGTTCCTAGTCCTTTGTGGTTGTGAAATCGCGCTTTAAAGAATGTGAGAGACCTCTGGTGAGATCTCAGAAGTTGGAGAGGTGGTTGAATGCGATTTCTAGTGGTTGGGAGGGATCTTCAATGTCCAGCACAGCACTCCTCCACCCACCCCGGACTAACGGAAGTAGAAAAAAACAATACAAAGCAGCAAAAGTGGTGAAGAAATAACAAGTTATTTGCTCAAGGTATGCAAGACTGCAGAGGGCATTTGCCCAAACAGACCGAAACCTTTCAGCATACACAAAATCTAGCCGTGCAGGACAGGCAGGTTGAAATCTGCACACTTTAGGCAAAGTCTGAACAGCAAAAACAACAACAGACCTACCTTCCACACAGTGCTCCACCTCTTCCAAATTGCGCAGTGTAATCCGCATGAGGCTTGAGTTGAGCATCAGTTCGTTCTTGTGAGCAGGCCACATATAATGCGGGGCAGGGTTGACGAAGAAAATCCGGGTGTCCCCTGTAGACACCTGGTTGTCGCAGATCAAGGGGTCCCCAAATCCCCCAATCATGACTTTGTTTCCACCTTCCAGGAGGATCTCGTGAGTCACAACCTCTTTGCCCTTCAGATACCGCCAGACCCTCACCTGGAGAATGAAAAAGAAAGCAGGACATTTATTATTAAAAAAGCCCATCAATGATGTGATGGTTGAGATGGGTGGAGAACCTCAGGCCTGGTGCAGGGGGCGGCTCCAGGCTTCTCTGTCAGGACCTCAGGGCTCTCCCCCACCCCACCTCACATCCCATCCCTGGGGCTTTTCACCCTCCTCAGGTGTTTTTGCCTGGCTGAAATGTGCCCTTGAACTGCATTTTGCTTGCCTGGACAAAGGGACAGTGTGTGGTAGTTTATATGTGAGGAAAAACTGGGCTACTGTGCAATGATGAAATTTGCATTAATTGACCTGTACACTTTTGGCCCTGCCCACTGCTGGTATGTGGCCCCCAGAATGTTGTCCACAAGGAAATGTAGCCTCTGGGCTAAAACAGATTCGGAATCAGAGCTATGGGAGACCTCACATTCAGAACCAGTGTGCCACCAAATATCAGGAATAGGAGGAGAGAATCCAAGTGGCCACTCTGGGAAAGAGAATGCCTTTCCAGTGAAGCAAAGGCTACCTAAACATAAGTGAATACTTGCTCCTATTTATCCATCCCCAACAGTTGAGACTTAAAAGATGGAAAGCTCCTTAGAGAAACAGACATGTCTGCCCCCTTACATCACTTTGTCAAGTGCATGCACTTGAAAAACACAGTAAATACTTCTGTGATGACAAACCTTTGCTAAGTGTTATGTCCTTGAAGGGTTGTAGCTCTGCTTTGCATGCAGAAGATGGCAGGTTCAATCCCCAAGTATGGCTGGGACTGTCCCCTACATGAAACCCTGGATAGCCACTGCCAGCCAGTGCAGGTAATACTGAGCTAGATGGGACCAATGGCCTGACTCTGTAGAAGGCAGCTTCCTGTGACCCCACATCCTTGGACAACACCGTAATACTTCAACAGTGACCACCCCTATTGAAAACTGGGCCAGGTCCGTGTGCAGCAAATTCCATATACAGTATAGTGGTACCTCGGGTTACATACGCTTCAGGTTACATACACTTCAGGTTACAGACTCCGCTAACCCAGAAATATTACCTCGGGTTAAGAACTTTGCTTCAGGATGAGGAGAGAAATTGTGCTCTGGCGGCGCGGTGGCAGCAGGAAGCCCCATTAGCTAAAGTGGTGCTTCAGGTTAAGAACAGTTTCAGGTTAAGAACGGACCTCTGGAACAAATGAAGCACTTAACCCGAAGTACCACAGTACTGTACACTAATCCCCCCAAAGTCCCAGCCCCATATTCCTTGGGGTGGCTTTACATCTCTGCTACCGAGGAAAGAGAACTGTTGGCGCGGGTGGAGAGGCAAGCTGGAGCACAGGAGGACTTGATCTGATGCCATAACCGAATCCGCAGGCCTTTTTATTTCCTGTCTGGGCACATCTCAAGCATACGTCATTATGGGCATGGATGTTGCAAGGAGGCCACTTGCGATTCCCTATTGCAGTACACACACACACACAGAGCGAGAGAGAATATCTACGATTCTGAGACAGCAAAGACAAACCATCGATGTTTGCCATATCAGCACTACAAACCATCGATGCCGTTCATATCGGAACTACTTCCACGAGAGGAAAAAACAGGCACTCATAACAAAAATAGAAAACTCTAAAGCTGAGCTGAGGACCCTATTTCATCCTGTGGGCCACATTCCCCTCACAGAGACCTTTGGGGGGCCACATGCTGGTGGTGGGCAGGCCCAGAAGTGAAAGTGGGTGGAGCGACAAATGTAAATTTTTTGTTCTTACGGTAGGCTAGTTTCACACATCGCTGTCTACCCTCCATCCAAGCGGCATGATCAGGGTTCAAGGGCACATTCCAGTCGGGCAAAAAACAACACCACCACTTGAGGAATGTGTGACGCAAGCTGGGGGGCGAATGGCATGGGGAGAGCCCTGTGAGCCAGGTGGAGAGGCCTGGGGGGGTGTCTGCATTTAGCCCCCAAATCTGATGCATACCCTTGGTCAAGTTACAGCTGCAGGGAGGGTGTAACAAAACTCCTCTCCTTCTCTTGCACTCGTTTTTTTAAAAAACAAACAAACAAGGGAAAGCAGTACTCTTTAAATCACAGGAAAAGTGCCAAGCTTCCGTCACCTAAAAGCAAATCTCACCCCCTTTTCAGTGTCAAAAATCCCAACTGCAGGCCTTGTTTTCCTGGCGCGAACATTTTCCACAGACTGGCGAACTGCCAGACCCACTTCAGTGGAGAGGAACAATCACAGACCATAGCTTGTCTGTCCCCCCCCCCCTTCTCACTGTAATCAGCTTGGGGGTTTTGTTTCCATGATTCTAACACCAGCAAAGGTGCCCGTTTCTCCCTGCCTGCGAAAAATCTGGGGCGAGCTCGCTGCCTCTGACAGGGCACAGAGAGCGCGGTAATAAACATGCCGAAGCTCAGGTTAAGAGGGGCCACCTGAAGCCGCAGAGTTATGGAATGCATCTCTTCCCCGCCGGGAACGGAGCCAGTTCCAAAACCATGCCAAAGGAGGCATGAAAGGCCCTTCGCACCAGCTGCTTGCCAAGGTGCGCCCTGCAGGTACACTTTACCCCAGATTCAAGTCGAGGCAAGGGAAGAGAAAAGGAAAAAAAGAAAACCACAGGATGAACCCCACCCATTTTATTTGCAAAGGCACAAGAAAAAGGGGTTTGCAGCTCAGCAGCAAAGGCAAAGACTGGCCTCACATCCCAGCTTGAGTGCAAAGAGATGCTTGGGTACGCCGTGCACATAGGTAGGGGAACTAGGGAAGCCCAGTACTGTCTACACTGACTGGCAGCAGCACTCCAGGGTCTCAGGAGTCTTTTTCCCAAACCAACATAGAAATACTGGGGACTGAACCTGGGACCTTTCTGCATGCAAAGCAAATGCTCTGACCTTTGAGCTATGGCCCTCCCCACTAACTCCTGGTCATTCCCACCCCAAGCATAATTTATCTGAACAGAGTAATTTAGATGGGAGGGCCCCTCTCTCTTTTTAGTTGGTACTGTTAATCAATTGCAAGGCAGAATTGTTGCTGATCCACCGCAAATGAGTTATAGATTGACCAGTAGATCCCCATCAGCCCACCTCTGATAAAGAGAAGTTGCTTTATTTATTTTGTATGAGTACACTGTGGCTCAGTGGTAGAGCATATGCCTTAAAAGGAGGTCGGTCCCTAGGTAAGACGCGGAGAATATCCCCTGCCTCAAACCCTGGAGAGGCACTGCAAATCAATGCAGACGATGCTGAGCTGGGTAGACAAATGGTCTGCCTCAGTAGCGTCCTAAGTTTCTATATTGTAAGCAAAGGGATGTAGCTCCATAGTACAGCAGCGGCTTTGCATGCAGAAGGTCCCAAACTCAACCCCCAACATCTCCAGGAGAGAACCCTACCCGAAACCATGGAAGGTCACTGCCAGTCAGTGCAGACAATACTGAGCTACATGGATCAAGGGTCTGACTCAGTATAAGGCAAAAAAGCCTGTGTTCCAGCATCTGCAGAGAGCATAGCTGTCAAGTGTCCCTTATTTGAAGGGACAGTCCCTTATTCCAGCACCATGTCCCGCTGCTGTCCCTTATTGATAGATGTCCCTTAAATGTCCCTTAAATGATGTCCCTTAAATTTCAAAGGAAGCAGCTCCTCTCCCTCCCTCCCTGTCGGCCAGGGAGGAGGGAGGCTCCAACTGTGTTGCTTGGCTGTGTTGCTCACCCAATAAGAAGTCTAAGAACGACGGGGGGAGGGGTGGAGCTTGCATGCCTTGTGTGTGGCTAGTTAATGCAAGCTGAGGGGTTTTTTGAATGCTGGACGCCATTTTGTTGCACGTGCTGCTGCAAACTTTGCAGTGCAAAGCCAGGCCGGGGAGCCATCTTAAGTTGAGGCTGCATAGGCCTTGTGGTGCATGTGATTCTATTCAGTTGAACCTCTGGTTACAAAGTTGGTTGGACAGTGTTCTCGAAGCTACCAGCATGAGTTTGACCAGACTGCAGGAGGACAGGAAGACTGGAGTGCCTGGAACAGGTGAGGCTGCAGGTCCCTTATTTTGGCTGCTGGTCCCTTATTTTCAAATCTGTAAGTTGACAGCTATGGCAGAGAGTGAGAGAGAGAGCTGGGTCAAACTCTGCCAGCAGCATTTTCAACCCTCTGCTTCTCATGAGGGGAATGAATGGATGGGATGGGAAGGTCATACAGTATATGCAGAGACACTGAATTCATCAAGGGTAATTAAGACTCCTTGCACAGTGAGTCACCAGGCACGTGAAGAATTTATTTTAAAAGGGGGGGAGCTGTGAAGGAAGAGACATAAGGAGATCAAGCCTGGGAGATAACAGTGGCAGTTAAGACCCTTCCAGCGACAAAAGTGTGCTTTAGAGAGATTTATAAAGACAGCGAGAGCAGGGGCCGTGGAAGACAAAAATGCTTTTACGAAATATCTTGCGTTTAAATTACAGCTGGGAGCATTAATGGGTACATCCAATCAATTAGCTGAGGATGGACAATTCCTATTAAAAATGTGTGTGGGGTTAATTGGACAGTCATTCCCCTCCTTACACACACACACACACACACACATACACACACACACACACACACACACACACACACGGGAGGGGGGAGGTCAGCCTTTTAAGGGAGACCAAGGGTTAAGTCCCATTATCTTTTGCCTGCACATCCCCACCCCTCAAACCCGCTCCCATGGGACTGCTGTGACATCACGGAACATTCACCACACATTCCAAATACTCAGGGGTGGGGGAAACATCAGCTATGGAAAGCAGGACAGGAAGGGAAGGAACAGAGCTGTCCGCAACATGTGGCAGAGGGATGCAATTTTCCCAGGCGGCACATATGGGGGGGGGGGTGCTGCAGGACCAGTTCCCCCACTGCTCCCACTACCGCCAATTCTCCTTTCATGCATTCCCTACGTAGCCCACTGCAATAGAGGACCCTGTCTCGCTGCCAGTTTTGGAGTCAATATTCAATGAGTTAGATCGAAAGGCTAGCACACCTGATACAGAACTGGATAGGCCAACCTCCCTTTTGCACCTGGGTTAAAATAGCAAACACTAACTGTGGACCTAACACATGCAGAAACCTCTCCCCCCACCCACCCAGGCTGATAAAGAGCCCTGTGTGACTCAAAAGATCAGATACAACATTCTACACAGGAGCTGGTCTGAGCAAAGGGGAAGGGGGGGGGGAGCACAGCTCATACACTCAAGTATTTCGTCCACTGGCTTCTGACTCAGAGAGCAGACAATGAACCTGGGTCAACAGCACAGAAGGGCGACACACACACACCTCGATTCTTCTCCTCGCTTAGTCACTCCATCCAGCAACAGGGAAGCAAGATGAGCAAGTCTCCATCCCAGCATTTGCCCTCTGTCCTTCCTCTCCACCCCCACCCCACTCGATTCTTAATCAGTTGGCAGGGAAAGCAATGCCTGGAAGCAATCCGCAACTGTTTAAACAGCATTAGCTCTAATTTCTTTCATTGGCTCTATCTCACTCATCTTTTGTGTATATTGGAGGCTTCATCCTGGGAGGGTTAGGATTTAACCAGCAGAGACAGAGAAACTTCAGCGGAATGCACAGCACATCTTCAGAGAGCACGTTGACTGCGGACCACCCAGTCCTTATTAAAACATTCCCAACTGGGGGAGAAGCAGAACTGGAGGTGGCAGGTGGGGGAACATCACGCCATGAAGCAGCCCGGCCAAAGGTTCTCACTGCAACACCTCAAACAGGTTAAAATCCAGGGTGTTGTATGCAATCCGTTATGCAACCTCCAATCACTGACAGAGGAAAATTAGGTACAAATTGGCCGATGAAAGATTTGTATTTATTTATTTTAATCAACACACCTATGCTATACGTTAAATGCCTGCACAATCTCAATCTTCCCTCCCATGAAGCTGCAATGGGCAAACCAGTTTAATCACCAGCAAAGGCCTAGATCCTGTGGTGGTGGTAGTGCGCCTTAGTTATAATGCTGATTCTATGAGATCCTGGTTTTGGCTTCATCTTCTCTCACACCAAAAGGGCTCAGAATGGCACAGATGGGTCCCCCACCATCCCCACCGCTTCTCCTCTGCAATATCCTCAGAACAGCCCTGCAAGGCAGGTTAGGTTGAGGACACAACTATACCTGCCAAGTCCAGCACGGGATTCACAATGACTCACATCACTTATCTGGTAAGTATAGGCAGGGTACTGGCAGCTCAAGGGCTTATCTATGCCCTGCCCACTGATTTACCCATATGAATACAACCTACCCAAGTCATTTTTAAACAGGTCATCATCCCCCTGCCCAGCTTTTGGAACAGACATATGCCCTGCTTGTGGGAGGGAGGTCTTTTGCAGGTGCTGGATTAGGCCTCACTCTCACCCTCCAATTTTCCATCTAAAACACATACATACACATCTGCATTTGGCTAATACACATTTGCCAAAGTATAACTTTACCCAGATAGAGAAAGGTGTAAAGCTCTGAAAGGATTTCAACCCAGTCCTCCCTCTTCCAATCTTTATTGGGGTGCGGACAAAAGGGGGCATTTGGGAAGATGGGCTGCAACTGGCCAGTTTTCCTTGCCCTCCCTTGTGGTTTATCCACTCACACACAGACACAGTGGAGATTTTGAGTTCCCGTTCATGAACAGCAAAACCTCCCCACACACCATTTACAAAAGCGGTTCTTGGACTACAACATGCTGCCATTCCAAAAACGACTTGATAGAACAGGAACACCCCCCCCCCAAAAAAAGCCTTCCCTCACGCCCTTAAGGTATGCAGAAGTAGCCTGGCAATCACTGCCATCCGTAGCCAACAACAATTTGGGCAAATGCAGTCTGAAACAGCAGAGAGCTGCTGAGCCTGGACAATACTGAGCCAGATGGACCATTGGTCTGACTCAGTAGAAGACAGCTTCTTGTGTGCCTCTGTCCATCCCCCACTCCATGTTCCACACTTTGAAGGAACAGCTGCCATGCAAATTTGGAATCCGCTAGGTTCATTCCTCCACACAAACATGTGGGGAGAGGCACAGCTCAGCAGGAGGACATCTTTTCTGCATGCCGAAGAGCCCAGGGTCAATCCCCATACTCTCCAGGTGGTGCTACCTGAAGACATTTTGTGTGCAAAGCATGCACACTATCACTGAGCTAATTTCATAAGCCTACGGCTTCCATTAGTGATGTATGGAAATGAGAGCTGGACCATAAAGAAGGGTGATCGCCGAAGAATTGATGCTTTTGAATTATGGTGCTGGAGGAGACTCTTGAGAGTCCCATGGACTGCAAGAAGATCAAACCTATCCATTCTGAAGGAAATCAGCCCTGAGTGCTCGCTGGAAGGACAGATCCTGAAGCTGAGGCTCCAATACTTTGGCCACATCATGAGAAGACTCCCTGGAAAAGACTCTGATGTTGGGAAAGATTGAGGGCACAAGGAGAAGGGGACGACAGAGGACGAGATGGTTGGACAGTGTTCTCGGAGCTATGAACATGAGTTTGACCAAACTGGGGGAGGCAGTGAAAGACAGGAGAGCCTGGCGTGCTCTGGTCCATGGGGTCACGAAGAGTCGGACACAACTAAACGACTAAGCAACAACAACAACAAAAAAACCTTAGAAGAGTGTGTGGCCGTGAGGGGGTGCGCTTGGCTGTGATTATCTGGTCCATGGGGTCACAAAGAGTCGGACACGACTAAACAACAACAACGGCTTCCATTCACTTATACCAGGGGCTGGCTAACCTTTTTTGGCCTGAGGGGCAGATTCAGCCTGGGGAGGGGGGTACATGCCAATGGTGGATGCAGTCACCCCACACTCTTGCATGCTCACACACAAGCAGACAGTGTCACCCACCTCCCTCAGCAGATCTGGGTTGATTAGCAGAGGACAGAGGGTTACTGCCCGCTCTTC